GCTGGGAAATGTGGCTAAAATCAGATCACACCAACTCCACTTCATGTTTTTACAGGAATGCTGTAATTTCTGAGCATTCTAGACCACAAGAAAATTACATCAGTGTATATTATAGCTCAGGGAGAGTACAAAACTCAATATTGAAGGTTTTCTTCGATTCCTAACTATCAGCTGAGGTTGTGCACTGGCTTGTAGTCTTCTACCAATCCAGAATTGGACCTGTAGTTATTTTGTATTTCAAAAGGGAAAATATTCCCCTTTCTAGAAGTCATTGCCTACCTTATGACCTGTACCACACACTGTCCCTCTCCCAGTCACCCAGCCTAGTTCCAGGTAGGTCCATCAGTAATTTTCTGAAGTTTGGTGCTCCCTAGTACATACAAATCATTCTGCTTTCATCAGAGAGAAGTTTCAGTCAACAATAAAGTAAAGTGTGAAGAGGCCAGTATAGTCCCAGAATGTCACTTCTTGTTATCCAGCATCATCCACAATGACAATGAAAAACACATTCCTCCTTCCTCAAATATGGCAAGGAGCTGGAAGCCCTCTACAGCAAGCAGACAAGACTTCTTAAGCAGACAGATCATCTTCACTATGGCTTTGTAGTCAGAATACAGCAACCAGTGACATCAAACCTCCTGTACAGTCATACGCGGGAAGCTCCAGCATGGGCTCTGCTCTTGGGCAGCCCTGCAACTGCTTGCCACTGAATCACTGCTCTCCTAGGGCAAGTAGCGGTGGGGAGGGCTGGGCTGCTGATGAGGAGCTGACATCTGTGGTCCTGTGTAGTCTGTGCAGTTCACAAGGCTGCAGACACTTTCAGCTAGATGAGGCTCTTTGGGATTTATGGGGTTATTAGCACTATTGAGAGTTATGTCTGTTCACAGGGGAGAATATACACTTCAGACTACATTACTCACTGTGTGAGTCACCATGTTGAATAACATATGTTTCCTATATTTGGTAGATGACCCAATACATTGCACTTCCATCCAGAATAATATTCCATCTAAACACCACTAGCTTTATTTTTTTTATACTGTAAAAGACTGAAAACATAAGCCTAGGTGTACTGCAAATTGATTGAATACATTTGCATTTTTATTTTTTGCCTAATTAGTTACAGGACTTGCAGTATTAAGACAGATCAGTCATACGCTTGATGATAGTATCTAGATTATACCAAGTTTGCATGTATTCTAATGGAAGATGTGTTTACTTGACAGAGGAAGATCCCAGCGGCTGGCTAGATTAAAACAAACAAAAAGAGCATTTAACTTCAAGAATTTATGTAATTTCACTGGAACCAATAAGATTATTCAGGTGCTTACAGCTAAGTGCATGCATATTTGTTGACATGGTTGCTAAACTATTGTACTTGCAAGGAAGGAATAGTGATCCATCATCATCAAGTGTAACGCAGTGCTAGGGGCTACTTTCATTACAGAGAAAACTCCCATTGATTTAAATGGAAGCAGGAGCAGGCCCTGACACTGATGTAGTAAGTTTGTGTAAACAAAAGATACAGTGAAAGATCCTCATTACAAGTATTTATGATGACTATGGAGCCTGGGAGTCTTTTGGGTGTGGAGTCTCTGAGCTAAAGCCGTGCAGTGTGCTGGGATTTCTGAAGTTAACTAGTTTAGTGCATGCCACAGAAGTTTGAGTGGTGGGTGGCTAGAGACCTTCTCCATGGCCTCCTTAAGGCACAGAAATTGTACAGAGAATATGTTATGTTTTAAACCACAATGCTGGCTGCAGACAGTGAGCCTTGTGTAGTCCTGTGGATCTTCTTGATTAATGATGAAAAATTGCTCTTTCTTATCTTTGAAGTTTGGTGTAGCCCAGATACATGAGCATTTCAGTCTGTCTTGCCTTGACAACATGTGAAACTCCACTGGTATGACAGTGGTCTGGATTGCACTCAGACTAGGGACAGCAGGACAGGGATGGCTTGATTCTGCAGGACACTGGCCTTCTGGCCTTGGGTCAGCCTAGGGCTTGTCAACGGGCTTGGTAGGATGCAAATGAGCAGCCAATCTCATATCCATCCTTTCTTCCCCATCTCGCTAGCACAAAGAGGGGATGAAAACAGAGCTACCCTAAAGTAACTTGTGAATGACCAGCCTTTTTCATTCAGCTTTGTCACAGTAAAAGACAACGGTTTAGCTCTTATTAGTTCACTTTTCTCCAGTGTAATTAAGACCATCAGAATCTCTGAGGCTGAGTAAGGTCCATAAACATCAACACAATAACTCTGAGTAAGTGGGTACTGACTATTAAAAGTGAAATTACCTCAAGTGAGTGGTTTCTGAGAAAGCATAACTTGCATTAAAACACATTTCCACCTCTACATGTTTACTTCCTGACTTTCTGCTACAGTGAGATTAGTTTTATTTTGGTTTAGTTTGGCTACCCTGGTGTTTCTAGAGCAGTGGTTATCACCTTCCTCAAGGTGGGGAATTCCAAGTTTGTTTTGATGCAGGCCTGAACCCCATTACAAATGTCACATAGATGATCACTGTCACTTAGGTCAATTAGTTGAATTTGCCTTTCCTATCCCTTTTCTCACACACCTTCAGGCAGTCAGCACACCTCTTACTACTGACAGTCTTCCAGTTGAAAATGACTGTTATAGTCAATTCTGGGTTTGTGCCATGAAGAAATACTAATTTACAAATCAGTGTCTAGATCCAAACTAAACCACTACTTTTATTGAAAAGTAAATAGCTGATTGTTCTATGACTCTATATCAAGACACAAAAGGCAGCATGACCAGTTAGGGGATAAATAAATTAAGTCATTTGAGAATATGTGAATCTCAGTGAGGTTTCATCTCAGGACACAAACACCCCAAAAGTATCATTGTTGCCTCCTGTCTGCAGAGGTTAAATTCACAAAGCTATTCATATGCTTCATAAATATTTTGTATTTATACCTTTCTATATCATCTTTCACTATTAGATCCTAAAATTTGAAATCTATACAAGACCTATTTCTCAGGGAGGAACAAAACAATTATTGCTTTGGACTGCAGCTATGCCTTTGATCCAGACCTAGTAGAGATTGATAGCAGAAAAATCAGAAGGTACAAGAAACCAAACAGAAGAAAATTATCTAACAATCTGCCACAGGTATAGAATCATAGAATGGTTTGGTTTGGAAGGGACCTTAAAAGATCATCTAGTTCCACCCCCCCTGCCATGGGCAGGGACACCTTCCACCAGCCCAAGTTGCTCCCAGCCCCGTCCAGCCTGGCCTTGACCCCTTCCAGGGAGGGGGCAGCCACAGCTGCTCTGGGCACCCTGTGCCAGGGCCTCACCACCCGCACAGGGAAGAATTTTTTCCTTATATGTAATCTACATCTATCCTCTTTCAGTTTAAAACCATTACCTCTCGTCCTATCCCTACACCCCCTGATAGAGTCCCTCCCCACCTTTCCTGTACCCCCTTTAAGCACTGTGAGGCCGCTATGAGGTCTCCCCAGAGCCTTCTCTTCTCCAGGCTGAACAGCCCCAGCTCTCTCAGCCTGGCCTCACAGGGGAGCTGCTCCAGCCCCCCATCATTCCATTCCAAGTGTTTCCTCAATCCTTTTTGACTCAAAATATAAATGCTTGCACTGCTAATGTATTTACTCAGTAAGTTTTATGTTCTATCATGGAATTGAGGGTATTCTCACTATCCAGAGGAGTGCCTTTAATGCTTTTGAATCATTTAAACTTTTGAATTTTGGGATATTGTGTGAAAGCAACTTCTATTATGTAAACAAGTACTTTGTTTTACAGCTATATCCCTTCACTTGAACTAAGTTTTTCATTATTTCCAGTGTCATTTTTCTATATTATGGCACTTTGTCTGTTTTTCCTTTATTGTGAGAGAAGGACCAAAATAGTAACAATTTCTTTAATGTCATTCTTGTATTTGTAGTTTTTGTCTAATTGCTGGTATGTTATATAAAATACATTTGAATGCGGACTACTGCATTCTGAATAGATGCACTATGTCTCATTTAAATGAAACAAATGTGACATAGCAAACATTTCACAAAAATCTTTAACTAGTGCTTTTTAAGGATGAGTCTAGCTCATTACAGAGGTCTCTGGTTTTAAAAGCTTTGAATCTATGAACTATAATGAAAATTACCTTATTTTGATTACCAGCCAAATTACTTTATTCCTACAGTCCTTCAGTATTTTTGGATGAATACTAGCTAGTATTGATGACCTGTTTTTTATTGAGTTGCTAATTTATTACACGTGTTTTTACTGCAGTACTTGTTTTTTACAGTAACTCTCTTAATGTTTAAAACCGAGATGCAGGTGTGGGAGATGTAGGTATGGGAAAAATAAGAGTTCTGCCAGACAAGGGTTAAAGATTTTAATTCCCGAAGTCTTGATACGAAGTTTTTTTTTGGACTAATCTTCTTATCATTCTGAAGTCTAATTTCTCAGTACTAGTTTTAATCTGATTCCTCCTAGTTGTTGTGAAATTTATCTATATTTTGGTCAGTATTATCTTAACAAGAGATATAGCTATTCCTTGAACAAATCACTGTATATTAACTGGGCTTGCAAAGCTGATCACGCAATAAAGGAAGGCCATGCACTCGGAGTGCAATGGAAAATTGCCAACTGTCTTAATAATAGTTTATTTTTAAGTATTTTCTAACCTAGCACTTGACTATTTAATAACTGTATGTAAGCAATAAAGAAATCTCTAACATCTGTTGAGATTAATGATTTTTCATAAGAGGACCATCAAGTCTCAGCTGTTCAGTGATAAAGGCTTATGTTTTTTTCATTTTTCTCACTTCAGAGTAATTCTTTCCTTGAACATTTTATTCAGGTTGAATCAGATTGTGTGATTTGTTAATCTTCTAAAACACAATTTTGGTGATCTAAAAGGCAGGCTCAGTTATCCTGAAAACAAATGATCTCTTCTTGGAGGGAAAGGAAAAGAAGACTATAAACAACAAACTTTTCTGCATTTTCTTGGCCCAGGGTCCTTCCACGTGAGAAAGGCTCAATTACATCTTCTGCATGTGTCTGCCTGAGAAGTTGTACTGCAGTGTATGTACTTGAAAGACGTGATCTGACATGACCAGAAGAGAAGCCGTTAAATCTAAAAACCTTTTGTGTGGATCCTGCCTCAAACATCATAATCTGTTTGTTCATCTGATAATGGGAGAGGCTACACCATTAAGAGAAAAGAAGGTTTTTACATACAAGCCTTGACTTGAACGCTGACAGCTTTTTACAAACTCTGCAATATAAAACTTACTCCCAGCTTTCACGAGCATGAAATGTTCTGGAGTTTGCAGAAGACGTAGCACATCAAGTGTGTCTTTCTCCTCCTTTCCTTTCAAGTTCTTTTCCTTGCAGCAAGGATAGGCTTTTGATGAATGCTGTGAAAAGTTCCTTGGATGACCTTCAAGAAGTCATTTGGAATGGTTGTCATTGAGTCAATAAACTCTGGATTAGGAGCCAAGTCCAAATTGTAAAATGGAAGATAAAATACTCCTTCTCTTCTCCCACTTAATTTTAAATTGCTCTCCAGAGCAGAGGCTGGTTCCAAAGCAGATCTGTCATGAGTGAAATTATGGTGTATTTTTATATTTTTTGTTAGAGTATAACAGCCCAATTGAGTGCCATGATGTTACAAATGATTACAATACCTCTGAATTTAACTTCTGGGACCCTAGGTATGGCTGTAGCATAAGAAAGTTAATTAGACTTTATATTTTTGTACAGATTCACACACTTTATTTTAAAGTAAACTGATCTTACTGTAATGTAAGTTGTAGGAGTAACACACAATTATGCTTTATTGCTCTTCTTTTAACATAAATGTTTCATTTTATAAAACACTGAGAAACAGATGAAATGATACTCAGAATAAATATATCTGATTTCTCTGTGTGCCTGCTTTGAGTGACTCTTATTGAGGTAGTACTTGGAAGTATTGAAGGTTTGTTATGACTGGTTTTTGTGACAGCAGTCATACCCCAGGTAAAAATACTCAGACATGACTCATCAAAAGAAGTGATCTTTGCATTCCTATAGTTAATTTTGTAAGCTGCATATTCATTGGAGTTGTGCACAAATATCCCTGTGCTCACCATCTTCAACTGGAAAGCAGAGGTTCTAAACAATGCAAGTTCCTCTTGGTTTTGCCACTTGCTTGCACAGCCCATTAGAGTTTAGATGTACAAAGCTCTTTTCTATGCTATTCTATATTCTTGCCAAGAAACTCAAAGGAATTAATTAATAAAATTATAATTATAACATAGAGATAAACATTATCTCCATTTTACAAATTAGGTAAAAAACTGAACAACAGAGTATAAAAATACAGAATTTTTAAGAAAGCTGATAACATAACTTTGATTTCCATGTCCACTTTTCATTACATGCAGCTATGCCTGAACTCTTTAGAAACCGTGTGCTATCTTGTGCTTATCTTCAAAGTGATATGCCCCATTCTAGGGTGTTTGATTAAGCAGTCCAATGACCAGAGCTCATATTTACAGCATTACTGTAACACATATTGCGAGTGAGCTGTTTGAGCCATTTTTAATTATCAGTTGACCTTTGTCTGTAGGTGATGTTAGAAACCTACATCTGGCTTGGGACTCTGGGCTCAGCATAGTTTCAGCGGTAAGGTTCAGTTTTGACAGCACCAAAATCTCAGAGGAATCTTTGTGAGAGTTCAGCTCCAAAAAGTGAGAAGATGGGGGGTTGTCCTGCTCTCCTGAGACTGCTGCTGTCTTGGTCACACCAAATACAATTCATGAAGAAAGAGCCACTCCAGTCTTGACCCAAGGCAGCGCTAGGAGGGAAGGAGATGGAGTCTCTAAAGTTCAAAAGGAAGGGTGAGGGATTGACAGGGGCTTCTGGTTCAACCTATGTAAAAAAAATAATTCACCATGACTACACTGGCCCAATAACTGCTGTACAGTTTTTATTGCCTACTGTTAGATGTCTATATCTGTATTTTTACACCTTTAGGTAGACCCTGAATTTTGGATATGCTGAGAAAAAATGGCTCTGGCTGACTTTTCCAAGGCTTTAGGTGAATCCTTGAGCAACCTGGAACATTTTTGTTTGCTGTTTGTTTTGTTTTTTTTTAAGTCATTGTGACTGAAAAATATTGTTCTTTGAGTACTCACAAGCACAACAGTGTTTAGATAAATTTGCCTCAAAATCTGTTTCATCATAATGAAAGCATTCACATCTCTGTGGAGGATTATTTCCCTGCTTCTGCAGTGCTTTTCGCATGTGTTGGCCCTCCTAGGTTATTTTAATTTACGATTCTCAATGTAGCTACAGGCATTGTGCTGCTGGAACAGAGGGTGGTTTCGCAGAGCAAACATCTGTGGGGGTTTCCAGATGTAGGAAGAGTATGGAAGTGGGTGTTATCTCTCAATGGGAAGGGAGGAATGTGGCTAGCAGGAACAAATACTTGGATATAACAAAGCATGTGAGTAAAATGGATCTATATTGTGCCCTCTAGAACAAAAAAAAAAAAAAGAAGAAGGCAAGGTAAAAAATGCCAAATATTAAGGCTCTATTTCGGTAAAAGACAGTAGGATTTGACATAACTGATCATACCCACAATCCACCTAGTTTTTTCTGCTTTGGATATTTGCCTGCAACAGATAGAACTCTGTGTGTGCTTATGTCTTACAGAAGTCAAGGAACCTGAAGTCTGTGATTGAAATTAAATATATGTTGAAAGTTTTTCTTCATTAAATCTCACATGAGGGGTGATCCTAAGGGAGAAAGTATAAAAAATATTTAAATCTACACGAAAGTGAAAATTGGCCATGCTTTTATTTTTACATGCCCGTTGTCCACAACCTGGGACTGTTCAAAGCTCAAGCACAGGGAGGGACTTTCCCCAGGAACTTCCCACATCAACACAGCTGGGAATGTCAGAGGCAGACAGAGGATTCGTAGATGCCATGGAGGTATTGTAGGAATCAGTCCTCGTTAGCAAAGGGAATTCAAAATTTGTCCATCTAGGACTAACTAAAAGAGATTCTGCCTCCCTTATAGATTCCCTTGACTAATGGAGGTCACGCTTCTGCTGCTGCATCTTAGGCCACATGCAGCATCAGCTGCCAATTTCAGCTGCAGACAAGTAGCCTCCTTCCTACTCAACACGTAGTGGGTGTCAAAGGCAGTCTGGGTAAAAGCCTTTTGACAAATAATTAAGCTTAATATGTATTTTCTCTCAGGTTTCACTTGGTGAAACTGCCTGAGAGATGTGTTTATATATTCACAGCACACATGAAAAGAGAACAAAAACAGGACGAAAACTGATAGTTGGCATAAAACGTGTGTGAGGAACTTCTCGAAGCTGGGCTGAAGATCAGACAAGCTTATAAAAAGTGCAGGGAATGCTCATTATGGACTGAGTCAGCCCAGCAGCTGTGAGACTCCTCCCTCCCCGCTTCAGTGATTTTATTGTTGTCCCAAGCTGCTGGCAGGCACTCGGGAGAATTCCTCTTGGCCCTGCATCTGTCTCTCTGCTGGATGCAATCAAGACTGGGCACTTGGTGCTTCTGTTGTCCTTGTGAGGTCTCACTTGATGTGAGCTCTCCTGACAGGTCACAAAGTGCAAGGGAAGCCATGGGCACTGTGCAGACCTGACCCATGGCACTGTCCTGGGAAGATCACAGCTGAGATAAAATGAAAGAAATAAAAAATGCTGCCAGAGTACTAGATGAACACTGACTTGAACTACAAGCTTCAGATGCTCAGACTAGATCCCCTTTACTTGCAGGTGTAGACTTCCCCCATACAGTAAATATTAGTTCAGGTAGGTGTTTTTTTCAGATGTTACCTCTCAGGTCTATTTTGGGTTGGGCATTCACTGTAACCCTGCCACTCACTGCTTTCTCAACTGCTGAATGCATAAATGTATTTTTACCAGCATGAAATCTGCTCATTTTGAATTGCACTTGAAGGGAAGGGAAGGGAAGGGAAGGGAAGGGAAGGGAAGGGAAGGGAAGGGAAGGGAAGGGAAGGGAAAAGGGAAAAAAGGGAAAAAAGGCAAAAAAGGCAAAAAAGGCAAAAAAGGCAAAAAAAGGGAAAAAAGGGAAAAAAGGGAAAAAAAGGGAAAAAAGGAAAAAAAAAAAGGAAAAAAGGAGAAAAAAAAAAGGAAAATGGGAAAAGGGAAAAGGATTCTAGGCAACAAAAATCCTTAAAAACTAAAAGATTATCAAAGAAGAGTTTTGCTCTGATCTTTCCTTACTGCTGCAAAAGAAACTGAACTTTGTCTGGTGGGAACATACACGGTTCACCTGTCTGGCATCAGAGCCAGCCAGGAGGATGCAGCCACAGATAAATTACATGCCTTGTCTATGAAAATCCAAGCCTTGGGTGTATACAGTTGTCTTTCCATAATCTGCTGAAGCACAGTTGCTGGTCATTGGAGCACTGGTCACAAGTGTGCAAAGAGATCACTTCTTAAGGTGTTGTTTGTCTCTGTCCTCTCAGGTGTTGTCCCCTTTGCCACAGCCTCTGACTGCCTTACAGTCTTTCACCTCTAATCTCCCATGAAGCACAGACGTGCTGCTACATCGTTTTATTTGCTACCTGCTTTGCCAATATATTTGCTTTCATTTTCAAAGCATTTTAGTAGTACTTTGATCATTCCAAGGTACTAGGAGCCAAGGCCCTCATGGTGCAAAGAGAGAAACTAAGTTATAAGAGTCCTAAAACTCTTGCTCTGAGTGGTAGCAAAGAGTTGTCTGAGCCAGGGGCACAACTTAGAAACCTCTAGCTCATTTCTTTGATCTCAGAAAGCCAGACATAGGTTCCATCAGTGCAAAGAACCATAACGTACTGCCCTAGGTTAATGTGTCCTCCCCCTAACAAACTTCACAATGTAGACAGTTCATCAGCAACACAAATCTGCTATCCAGCACAAAGGTGATAACTGCCTCTTCCCCAAGTGTCTGCTAGGTTTATTGGGTTGCTGAATGATACAGCTCTCTCCCTCTCATGTTCCAATACCTTGCCTCATGTCATATATATGCACAAAATTGTAATGGAAAAGCAGGAACTGAGCACATTTCTGTTTTGTTAGGAATCAAAGCCCGAGTCCTTCTTTTTGAGTTGAAATCTGTTGCATTAGGTCAGCATGTGTTTATGGTCGTCCTTAAGGGTGAGGCACCAATGCCCTCACTAAGAAGTCTATTTCTGCTAAAGGTTGTGAGCACTGCTTAATTACACTGCAGAGGAGAGATGGCAAGAGTGCTAGCAATCATCTGTTGCAGATTGCCCCCAAAACCGAAACCACATCTGTGGTACAGCACAACTGACATTTGCAGCCAGGCGGGAGAAACAGGAAACATCAAGAAATGACCAGACAAACCCACCAAGAGTTCAGAGGTGATTTACAACATCAGGTAGAAACTCAAAGCCTGAAAGACAATGTTAACGTGGCTTATACCAGAGAACCTCGACTTAGCAATTTTGTGTGACTGTCTGATGTGGTTGCATGTAAATCTCGTGTATATACTGCAGTGGTACAGTCCTAGGAAAGCCTCGTTTCACCTTTCCAAACAGTCCAGCAGAACACAATAGCACCATTCTAATCTGCACCAAGATTAAATCTGAGCACTCCAAATCAGACTTTTCCTTTCATTGAATGTAAACAATCAAATCTCACTGTGAAGCCCTTTCCTGCTTTACTCAGCAATGGGCTCTTACATTTTGCCTTTCTATTATTTAATGAACATGCCCTAATTTAAAAGATGCTTTAAATAAAAATGCGTTTCGTATTCAACAGGATGTATCTGAAAATCTGTTTTATCTTGGCAGTATAGAGCTGGAGGAAATCTGAC